TTGATATTCTTTTAAAAAATAATAAAAAAATTGCAAAATAGCTGCCTCAGCAGCGTAGTATTTAATTATTATATTTTTCTAAATTTAAGTACATGCAGCGTTTTAGAGTTTTTTTTTAAAATTTAAAAAAAAATAAGAAAATTGTTATTGGAAAAGCGATTTTAATTTTTTTTTAACAGCACGGACACTTGATTTTATACTAAAGATATCACTGCCTCTAAATCAATTTTGCCCTTCTTATTAAAAAAATTTTTAACATACCATTTATGTTTTTTGAAAAAAAAATTACCCTTTTGACTCCGGAAAAAAGGACAATTGAATCTAAAATTTTGTAGTGATATAAATTTTTGGTGGAGAATGCATGTAAATCTAAAATCTCCTATGTTTTAACTCAAGGACGTTAAGATGAATCCAAGTACTTTTCAAACATGAAATGAAGACAAAAAAATAACCTTTGAGTTTCCTTTTTTGTACTAGTTGGTGGGGTAATTAGTTAATGTTTCTCTATTTAACCTGACTTCTAATTGATCAAATGTCATTAGTTTCATTAATATCAAATATTTAGCTCGAAATGACGAAATCTAATCGTGGATATATAATAGAAATGCACTTATTATATATAGATGAACTCACCTCCAAATTAACGTCGAACGATCGATCGCGAACCCAAGAAATCGAGAGCTACCAAAATTTAATTTCAAACAAAAAGAAGTTGAAATGCTTAACTAGAGATAGAGATTTAAACGTTTTCTGCAAATGAGGATGAAGAAATATTTGGATTTTGATGAGTTGACGGACACTGACTTAATTGAAAGGTATTTATACATATTGACTTGCGTGTGAATTAGGCGGTTTTGTAGGCCATCGTTAAACTGCTTGCCACGTAAAGTATCAAATACTTAAATTTATGATTTTTACTTAATTAATTATTTAACTAACGAGAAGAGAGATTATTAGACACGACATAGTGTAATTTTATCTTACGAGGATATAAGATTATACTCAAAAGTTTAAAGATTGATTTATTAGAATAGAAGTTTTGTAAGAAGTGGAGTGTTGTCTTAATTACTTTTCAAAATGGATATAGTCATATAGGCTTGGTGGTGAAGTATTGGCCTTATTCTGGTAGTTGTTCAACTTGCTTTTGATTTGTTGTTTATTAAATTTTGATTGTTTAATTATTTTATTCAGATTAAAAATAATCTCTCTAGTTAGAGAATAAGATCTGTGTATACACTATTTTTTTTAGATTTTATTTGTTGTTATTTTATCGAATATGTTATTATTTTCGTTGTAATTATTTAACGGAGATATAATATGATTTTCTTCCTGAAGGAACAGCTCACATGACTTGGAAGTTGGTGTTATGGAATCTCTGGTTGCTCTGTGTTGAGGTTCACACGAATTTTAATTTAATAACACCTTTCTTTTTCCAATACCTTTTTTTTTTTTGTCAAAATGTTACTTACTAGTATTATTTTTTAAGTGTTAAATGCACATTTTTTCTTATATTTTAAATAAGTTTACGTATTTTATACTCTAAAATACTTTAGTATATAGTAATTTTTTATGCGTCTAATTGTGTAATAAATATTGAGATTTGAGAATTTTAAGTATAAAATTAGATTATAAATTTAGGTATATTGATATCCTTGAACTCCGTTTCATTCTTTTTGGACGAAGGAGGAAAAGGGATTTAATTTATTGATGCACAAACTATGATAATAGATATAGTAAAATAATTCATTGTACCGAATATTATCTTTCACTATAAAGATATTGGAATATTGCTTCTTTGAAATTCGTATTATGATGCTTCTTTTCTTTTTTTCTTTTTTTTTTGGGTCAGGTTTGTAATTAGATGGTGTATTAAAGCTTTAATATTTCTTTTCCTTGGTTGCAAAATTAATTTTATGACTCTGTTTTCCTAGGAAATATTTCTTAGTTTTTTTTTTCATATTTTGATTTTTTTAAAAAAATATAATCTTTAATAGGAGGAAAATGACTCTTTCGGTGAAATTAAAAGAAAGTAATTTTTTGAAAGTGCCTACCTAGTCTCTTTCTGGGTTATTGGAAGTGTATAATGTATGTCAATATCAACTAAAGATATAAATAGTGAGTCTTTTTCACGTTAAAAGGTTAGCTTATATGTAACAACATGACCAGGTAACAATTATCCTATCATAGATATAAAATATTTACTTTAGATCGATATATCTAAAATATATTAATCTAAAATTACATGACTCGAAAGCCAGTTTAACGTGGGACAATATTCTCATTAAGATACATGAACTCTTCTTTTTGGGGGTAAAAATGTGTCTTAGTGACCACTTCAATTAAGATGAGAACAATTGATATAAATGTTTTTGGCTCCTTCCAGGGACAATACATGAGATGAACAGTCTATATTTCAAAAATACCTGAAATATTTGTTCAACTAGTATTTCTAAAATACCTAAAATAATAATTTTAAAGAATTTGATAAGAAATAATAATTTAGTTTAAAGAGTATTTTTAAAATTAAAAAATAAAAACAAGTACAAATAATAGAATGAGAAACAAATTAAAAATAATTTTCAAAATATTCTTCTCGAAGAAAATGGAGTTCACTAATGCACACTATGTTCTTAAAAGTATCCAAGGTTAATTGAATATATCTTTTCTGGATAGAGCGATATTATTTGTTGGTGTATTGATACATATTCTCACGGTGTCAGCGAATCACTCAACGGCAGTAAAGTACACTTAGAATACTAGATTTAGTAGTAAAAAAAGTCCAGAAAATTCATGTTCAAAAAGTGAGAGAAAATCTCTCTATATATAGACAACAAATTAAGAATAGTGTAAACAAATGTTCATTGTGTCTTATCGAAAAAGTCGCAACCCTTTAAAAAGTTACAACCATTAAAAAGATCGTAACTTTCATCAAATTAATAGCTTTTCATTAAAGTCATAATTTTTTATCATGAAAATCACGAACTCTCCTTCATTTTTCATTCGCGCCTTTTAAAACTCAACAATCTCTTATGTTCTAACTCTAAGATTATTAAGTGAATCCTCGTACTTCTCAAATATGAAATGGAGATAGAGAAAAGAACAGTGCTTCTTTTGTTCCTTTTGGCAGTAGTTGAGTTAGGAGGGGCCTAGTTAGTCTATTTGATCAGTGAATTTTTTAGATATTTTGGGATTTCTTTTTGATTTGATCAATCAATATTCGATATTTATTGATCGAGTAATATGTATTCATATTATATATATACAGTAAAAAGATATTTATTTGTTCTCTCGATCTAAACAAGAGATTTCTGATTAAAGAATGATTTTATCTTTTAGTAATAGAATATATCAATCAATTATAATGGAATATATCAATCAATTATAATGAAATATATCAATCAATTATGCGTATTTTTTATCGACTTTTTTGTAATTTGTGATTCCCATATTGACAATTACGTAGCACATAGTGTTAACTATTAACTAACAATCAACCTTTTGGAATTAGATTCTAAATGGTAAAGCAGGAAAGATGATGAGACAATTATCATAGTGTGAACTCTTGTCTTTTACCATCCATTTACTTGACAATTTATTCCATTTGCATTGAAAGTTGAAACAAAAAAGAAAAAAGACTTTTAAGAGACTATCACAAGCGAATTTTGATTAATGAGAAGAAATAATTAATTTCTAGTGTCCAATAATCCAAAGAAAGAAAAAAAACTATCTTAAAATATTTGATTTATATATAAACTAAATGAATATTTTGATTTATGGGAGGTGGGGTAGCTATGTGTGTGGGGTAGTGACGATAAAGATTAATAAGTTGTGCTGAAGGGTTAAGGAAACGTATACAATTAATATCGTGAAACTTATTTTCTTTACCGTTATTAGAAGATTGCTTTTTATGATTTTAAAAAATTAGTTATTTTTTAAAAAATTTGAGCAACCGAACATATAAAGAAATTTTGAAATATTTTTTGTTTTGGAAGATCCAAGAGCATGCCGACATAATTGATGTGAATAATTATTCACTAGAGGCATAAAGTTACCTTTCGATTATAAGTATTCAAGGAATATTGAACAATTAAAAAAGTAGTAAAAGAAAACGAAAGACCTCATACACCACGCAAGCCACCATTAAATTTAAACCTCTAAAATTAACTTATTTTGAAAGCGTTTTTTTTTTTAATAAAAGGATGAAAAACAAATTACTACGTATTTGACTAATCAAATTAAAAACGCAATTTTGACAACAATTAATATATAGCCAAATTTTCAAAAAAAGTACACCATCAATATATTGTCTCAAAAGTAATTTTTGTTTTTGAAGAAAAACTAGGCTACCTTTGAAAAATAGTTTCTCTTTAAAAATTTGCCCAAACACTTTTTATAAAAAAAGATAATATACTAACATGACTCTTAACTTGACTTAACGAATAATTATACACTCTAACTTTAAATATGCACAAATAGACACTTAAATTTGTATAAAATTAAATAAATAGACGCAAGTGTCATAACATGGCATAACACACGTAGTATGTCATATAGAATACAAAATTATCATGTAGGACGAATATATTTATTTGCCCAATTTTATACAATTTAAGTGTCTACTTATGTACACCCAAAGTTAAAGGTCATAGTTATTAATCGACGTCAAATTAAGAATTAATATTTATGTATTATGTCTTTATAAAATAAGCACTTTTTTGATTTATTTTTTTTTTAAAAAAAGTCAACGTCCTCAAAGCTTGATCAAGATATTGTAAGCCTTATACATAGGTCAAAGCATCCGTTGATTGAGGAGCTTTTAAAACAAATATGCATAACTGATTAAAAAAAATCATATACTTAAATTACAATTTCAACCTAAACTTTTGTATTGATTTTGAAAAAGCAAAATACATAAATATGACCTTAAATTTAATCTCCATCCCCAGTTCACATTTATGCCCTCCAACTTAAAGTGTGTATGAATAAGTACTTTCTTAAACTTGTATAAATTTGATGTTAAACTCCAATGTTGTTGAAGAACATGAATGTGAAATGAACTCCAGTTAAATAACACATTTATGTATTACATTTTTTTATAAATTATTTTCACGAATTTCTTCGATTGATTTTGGTAAAAATACCCAAAATCAATTGAAGCTATGGTACAGGTGCGGCACATGAGGCCGCACAACTTACACTAACTATAAGTTACACACATTATCTGCGACTTCTACGGCTAGAAGAAGTAGACTTTCCCAGAGGAGGGAAATCATCTTCATTGGAAAAAACCTTATTTTCACTATTCGGAAGCTTGTCAATTTTACCATGGTAACGATTTCTTGAGCTGTCCAATGATGGAGAAGGAATAAGACGCTCGATTCCTACAAGCTCTGGATCAGGAGTATAACGATATGGCAATTTGCTGACATCCATCTTACGGAAGGTAATGGAAATTCTGCAACAACAAAAAACAATGGTGATATGAGTGAGATAAACAAGATTACTGTATACTCCTTTCGTTTTACAAAAAATGACCTGATTTGACTTGACACGAGTTTTAAGAATATAAAGAAGACTTTTGAATTTTGTGGTCTTAAACGTGCCACCTTGAAATTTGAAATTAAAATGTTACAAAAAAAGAAAGAGGTCATTCTTTATTAAGCAGACTAAAAAGGAAAGGAAGTCGTTCTTTTTGAAACGGAGGAAGTAGATGCTATCAGAAAACATGTCTGGAAGTAGCTGAATATATGTCTAGAACTAATATTAATGAATATTTTTGTGTCATACATAGAAGAAAGAAAATAGGAAAACAACCTTTTAGCTGGAACACTAGGCACACAATGTTTAGCAACATCAGCTCCATTACCATTGAGAATGAGCACTGACCTGTATCAGATCAAAAAAGGGGGGAAATGAATACGTATTTCGTATGTAAGAAGGCAGTGCAGAGATCGAATTGTGTATGGTATTAGTAAACGTACCCGAGAGGAAGAGGCAAGGAGAAAGGACCAGAGAACTCTCCAGGATTAATAATCTTTAAGGTTGTGCCGAAGAGTATCTTACATTCTGCCAAGAAAGATACTGTGCAGAAAGGTCGAACAAAGTCGTGATGGTCAATATGAGGAGGAATGCAATCACCCTCGTCATAAATATTCACGATGCAACTATCAGGTACACATGACGTAGGCAAAACATGCCATCTAACCATTCTCTTAATCATTTTCTTGAATAAAGGAGGCAATGGATCCACTTCTTCATCTCTAACAATGCCCGGCGGATTACCATTTTTGTCCTGTAAAGAACTGTCAGTGTTCTTTACAGTGGATAAAATGTCGAGATAAAACTGAAAAGGATTAGCCATTAATTAGAGATCTCTTACCATAGCATAATTATAACAACAACCAAATTGTAAAGTGATGCGCCCCTTCCCTCGCATCCATTTTCTTGGTTCAGAATATGTTCGCGCTGCAAAATATCAACCAGAAAAAAGAAAGAAATTGAAACAGTGAAAGCAATAACGCAGATACATTCTTCGTGTTTCATAGCTATTACTCTGGCTGGACACAGAAATAAATAACCATACTGATCAACAGATTTCAAAAAAAAACAGAACTGAATGAAAATTACCTCTAAGTTGTTGCTTTTGTCCCATCCTCTGGAGAGAGTAAACAAGTTCGACTATCTCCTTTTGCTCATCAGGATTGAAAACGTTAGTGTGAAGCTCAAGCCCTTTAAGCACATTTATTTGCTTTTCATTAACATTCTCATAGTGAACAAAATCCTTTCGCCTTCCAACTTGGCTAAATCTAATAAACTCTTTCTGATCCTCCACTAAATCATCGCCTACGACTGATCTACTAGGTCCATCATTTAGTTTAATCTCAAAATTTGAAAGGTCGGACGCTGGTTGTTTGTTAATCACCGGTTTAGACAAGGCACTAACAAATCGTTTCGACCTTCCTGAGTTGGTTGAGTCGCCAACTTGTGGAAAGGGTGTATAAGCATCAGCATTCAGCTTTCTTTTAGGTGAAATTGCATCATCAGATGAACTTTCTGCAACATTAACATTGGATAATGTCATTTCGTCTACCCTTCCTATAAAGTTAAAAACAAAATTATGAGATACTTTGAATAATAGTAATCCTAAGCACCAAAGATAAATCAACAATGACAGCCCCATTTTACCAACAAAAATATAACTGAAGAATAGAGTTTGATTCCCTCCGGCGTTTTAATGTATTAAAAAAATGATCTTTTCAGAAATTTATTTGTTGCATCTTTCTTGGATTTCTCCGGTCTCTTCTTTCTCAAAAAGTCCGTATCTATACTCTCTTCAGAAACTGCGGCCGCTATTCTTTGGGTGCGCACAGGTAAAAACTCCGCTCCTATGCAATAGCTAGCAAATCACATAGGAGAGCTCGACCCAAAAAGCAAAACCCTACTCCGAATCGATACTTAAAAATCTAAATATTCAGAAATTCAATCCCGAACTCAAAAGTGGGTATCTTTCTCCAATATCTCTATCTGAAAAAATCCGTATCTACACTTTAAAATCGAATAATCCATAAATTCAATTCGGATTCAGGATCTCTCAGGAATGAGTTTTGTATCTAAAAAAATCCTTATATATACTAATTTCAACTCAAATTTATTCACAAATTCAATTTCTATTCAAGACACCTACAACGAATTCGATTTCTTCGTATATGTTTACTTCAAAATTACCGTGAAATTAAATACGCAGAAAAAAAACAGAATAATTGAAATTAGCTTACTTTGAATAAAGTTGAGATTGTTGACACGAGACTCAATAACTTCTTCACAGTAAGAACAAAGGCCTTCAGACAAAACTTGAAGAAGTTGTTCATGTGATAATTTCTTCAACATAGCTTTGAAATCCCGCGGCTCCGGCGACCATCGACTATAATCTCCGGCCATTAATTAAACCTGATTTTAATTTCTCCGATCAACAATTAAGGAATCTGTGAGTTTTCATGAGAAAATCTTAGTCTTTGCCTCTTTTGGACAGGAAAACCTGAAACCTAAAGGGACTAGATTGTTAACTTTCTGGGCTTCTTACATTAACAAATTATGTACAGCCCAACTGTAACATTATCTATTTCTAAATTAAGAAAAAAACAAATGTCTAAATGTGTTGATATAATTTTGTTTCAGATAACAAAATTATAAATCATATAAATTTTATTAGTTTACAAGTTAAAAGTACGATCTTTCTTTTAGTGATTATGTAATATTATTAAAAAAAAATTTATATAAATCATAACTGAATCAAAAATTGAATATTCGTTTCAGTTTAGATTATATATAAATTAGGTTGCACAATATCGAACATTAAATTGAATTAAATTGTAACTCGAAAAACAAATTTTGACTATTAATTTAATTTGACTTGATTTGGTATTTTAAAAAAATGAGTATATTTGAATTGATTTGATTATAACTAAAAAAAATCAACTCGAGATCAAACTAACCCTACATATATTATATAGATTATTTTAAAATTTTATTTATATATAAAAATATGTATTTTGATATAACTTTTAAAATAATTCTTATACTATTTCATAGTTTTTATCTTTTAATATATTACTTCAAGTTTAAAATTTAAAATTATGAATGGTCCAGTAAAGATTCGAATTCATAGATGTAAGTAATTATAATAAAACTTAAATCAAAATCAAATTAAAACTAATGAATAAAGAATATAATTTAACACTAACAATAAAAATAATATGGAATATTTTATTTTTTTACATTCATTTAGACAATTAAAATACGTAATCTAATGTTATATTCCCTTTTAAAATTTAATCATGTAATTGTTACTTATGTTAGCATGATTTAATACTTTTAAATTATGATTATTTTCATTGTGACTTACTAATTTGCACTATTTATTTTACACGATTTCATCATTATTATTTTTATTGAATTTTTTAGTGTCATTAATCATATCACATTTTTTATTTTATTTTCTTAAGAAACACCTTAGATAGTCGTATTTTGGTAGAACTAAAAAAATTAAAGTACAAAAAATTTATATATTTGTATGAATACTTAAGCGGAAAAACACGAAAGAAACACAAAAATTCGAAAAACCTGAATTATCCAGAAAAAAACCCCGAGATTTTGAAAAAAAATGAACTTTATTGATTTGATATGATTTATAAATTAAAAATTCAATAAAATAATTTGATTTTATAATTGAAAAAAATCCGAAACACAACCATGTACACACATGGATGGAACCAGGATCGAAGCTACAGAGTTAAATGGGGGTTCGGATGAACCCACTAACTTTTACGTAGACCCTATATACGTACCAAAAATTTATGTCCTAATAATTGATGGATACATAAAATAGAATGAAAAAGTGATATAAATGTGAAATAATTCTCAAGTTGGAGAGCGTTAACATGCTTGCTTAGGATCAATTTACAAAGTCACACTCTAAAAAAGTTTTGGGACTTTACCTATATTTTAAACTTACTTTTATTTATTTATGTTAAAACAATGTCTCTACGTATCATCTAAGTTGACATATTAAGACACAATAGAAGTAGGAGTAATATTTTCTTCTTCTACATAGTTCTAGCAAACACACATTTTAATAAATTTGGACGAGTCATGATACCAAATTAGTAAAGAGAAGAAAAAAAAGAAATGCTTACTAACGAAATGGGAAAAGTGTAGGTGAACGCAACTTCCCAATATGTATGGCTGTAAAGAGAATTTGATAATGAAATAAACAGTGAATAGCTACCATTTATGTGTTAACATTAAATTTTTTAAAAAATTAAAATTGAAATTAAATGCTTAAAATATTTTTGACTATTTGTATAATTACATTATTTTATTAAAAATAAAAATAAATTTTTACATTAAGCATATATAAAAATAAAACTATTTTTTGAGACAAAATTTATATAAAAGGTATGATATATATTGAAACAAATAAAATATTTATTAGAGCTTTACACCATATTAATCGATATAGAGTGTATTGGTAATAATTTCATAGACTGCTTTGTAACACACTAAGGCCTTATTTGTTTGCACTTAATGGAGGTGAATCTTAATGATTCAGATTCAGCCTATTAAGTACGTTTTGTTTTTAGGTCTCGAACTGAATCATTCAAATTCAGTCCATTAAGTTCATTTGTTTTATTTTTAAAAAAACTCTTAATGGGTTTGAAGAGGTCTGAACGAAACAGATTTGTAGGAGACTCTTAACAGCATTCAGATTCATTTGATAAGTTATCAAAAAATAAATCATAGTTTTTCTGCTTTGAGCGTGCATTTTTATTTCATAACTAATTTTTTTTCTTTTCACAATCGAACACCATTTAAGTTTTCATAAATCTTTTCAAGTAATTTTTTTTATATTAATAATTTTCTTGTATTGACGCGTGTCAAGAACACTGGTTACAATAATATTTTTGGTGTATTGTTGTTTATCAAGGTTTTGAATGAAAAAATAGTACTCCAAATCATTATTATTAAAACTTTTAATTATTTTTTTAATCAAAAGTCATATATTTTGTTGAAATGAAAATTTTATAATATTTTATTAATATAATACTCAATTTCACTGTCACATTTAAAACAAACAACATTAATTATTTAGTGTTCAAATTTAGATGCGACATCTTAATTTTTAGATGTGTATTCAGATCAAAACATCCAAATCTTAATGAAAATTTTAATATTCAGAATCTTAATAAAAACAAATAAGGCCTAACACTGACATAAACTTTTCTAAAAATATATTTTATGATATTATATTTATCTCTCTCTTTTTTTAATATATTATTATTAATCCAAAAGGTTGTAGACAACAACTTTACCCTTCAAAAAAATGATAACCTGTTCTAATTAATTACACTACATATTTATCATAACAGATATAAATAAATAATTACCTAACCAGTACACCAATGATAGCAGACACTAAATTGAAAACACACTTAAATTATGCATTTTAAAAAATATATATATATCTAAATTATAAAGCGTGAGTTAAATAAAAATAATTTAATAAAATAAATATTATACCCAGTAATAGAAATAACTTTTGCTAAATAGCATTTGTTTTGAGACACAGAAAACATCATATTGAGTATGTGCTGTACATCAACAATTACTTGTATCATGATGGAAATGGAATTGATGGGTAATATATGATTTCTCAATCATAAAACGATATAACAAAATTATTTTCCTTTAGTTTATCACAGGAAGTCAGTTTATATATTCTTGGCCATGCTAGTTTTTTTCTTTATTATTTAGTTCGGTAATTTCTGATTTTCGAAAGTATTTAAAAAAAATAATTTAAAATAAATTAGAAAGTGTTTGACAAAATTATAAATAATTTAATATAAATTTTAAACGACTTAAAAATAAGTTAAAACTCAAAAATAGATATTCATTTTTTTTTGACTTAAAAATTATTTTATTTTGACTTTTAAAAATTTATTTTTTTTAAGTCAATTCAAACACATTTCAAAGGGCTATTGGTAAACTTAATATAATAACTTTTCTGGGGCCTTTGTTCTTTCCCTTTTTTGCCAATTGGCAATGTGATACTATTTCTGTTCACTTTTATTTATCAAAATAAAAGATAAATAAAATCACACTAACTTCTAAGAAAAAAAAGTAATAAGAGGTAAATTTTTATAACATTATTGAAATTGGTCTCATTAATTGACTATCAAATTGTATACATTAGATATTGAAAAACCTACTTGAATTGGTATCTTTTCTGGAATAATTAATAATTTTAGCGATATTTTTTATTTATTATCATTTATAAGAATATTATATTATTAAAAGTGAATTATATATGTAATAATATAATTATTTTTATATTATGCTTGTTTTGGTAAGAAATTGACACATTATATTATTAGAGTAATAAAATATATGATAAATGTATTAATCAGTAATAAAACTTGTATTATATGTGAATAATAAATTATTATTTGTGTTATGTATTGAAACTGTATGAAAAATGATCGAGTGAAAAGAAATATTATTGATATAAATGATAAATATATTTTTATTATAGTTATTTACGTAAGTTTCCCTTAAATATTCAACTTCCTCTATTTGCCTTTAGTATTTTATTCACTTAAATTCATTTGTTTTATATTTTATAATACTTTTCCAAAAGTACTAAAAATAACTTAAATTATGAAAAATTTGGTTAGCTCTCAAAATTTCACTTATACGGCATAATTGAGACTTGAAAATACATTAAGAGATAATAAATCACAATAATTAATAAATTAAAATATTTGGAAAATATATTTAAATATAATTAACTATCAAAATTTCTAATGTCACATGTTGGGACAAGGGAAACAATATATATTATTTTAAAATTATATTAATTATTAAGAGTACTATAAATTTTAATAATTAACATTTTAAATTTTTTTAAAAATATACTAAAATTTTGTGAGTTCAAAATTTCACGTAAGATGGACCAAGTGCGTAACATATATTGAAATATTAAAAAAATATATTCAAAATTAATTTTAATCTAAAAATATCAAATGTGCCTCAAATATTATTAATAAGTACGTTAAAAGTATTGCAAAAATAATTCACGACAAAACATATTCAAAAGTTTAATTGACTCTCGTAATTCTATAGCATTACTTAAATTAAAATATATAAGATAGTATATATTGGATTCAGGATTGCCTGGACTTTTGCATTTTTGTGGAATTTTTTTTCATACACTGATTATTTATACCAAGTCAATGCAATACGTTATTTAACAAAGTAAAATAAATGTAAATTAATTATAATTAAGTAAAATGAACTATTAATTTAAACACATGGCATGTATGTTCTCGCTTGGTGTAAGTAAGTTTTATCCCCTTATATACTATAAATAAAAAAATAGCTGCCATTTCACTTTTAAAACATTTATAATGCACTTTTAATTCTTATTACAAGGACTAATTTATTATTCACGTAATACAAGTTTTATTGATGGATAATATATTTATCACATATTTTAATACACTTATAATACAATGTGTCAGCTTTTTACCAAACAAGCATAACATATTTATAAAATTAGTTATAATACATATATATTACATAATTTAATTCACTTTTAAAATATATTATAAATTTAACATAATATTGCTATAAATAATAATAAATAAATAAAATATCACCATGGATTCCATTGCATTGGTCCATCATATTGGAGAAAAAAGGTATGTG